GGCAGTTAGAAGGGAAAGAATGCATTTTTCTTAGGTAAAATCTTGTTTTTACAATTCCCCCCGCCAACACAGCACAAGGGGTACCAAAAATTCTCAGAGCTCCTAAAACCAAGCATGAAGATGTAAGTGCATCACTTTTTTCACATACAAAACAACTAGAACTCTTGGTTCCAAAGACCTTTTTCACTTCATTCAATTAAAAAAAAAATTTTTTTTTAAACTTTTCTCACTTAATTCAATTGTATCACTTTGTTTCACATAGGGCTGGCTTGTAACCATGTGGACTTCTTTAAGTATAAATGTTTCAATTAGCCTGTAATGGGATAGCTGGTTGTGGGGTGGGAGCACGGAGGGGATGTGTGGTATGAGGGGGGTGACTTACTTGAATAGTTTTGGTGATTTTCATGGCTGGGCTCACTGTACCCATGGCTGGGCTCATAATGGCAGGAGCACTCCTTTTTAAGCTGATCTTCTCTCTGGCATCAACCACTTTGGTCACCTTCTCAGCAGCCACACTCTGCTGCTTGCGGGAATTCAGCATTTCACGGGCATCCTGCACTTTCCCTTTGATTTTGAATCTAGCATCTTTTTGAACCAGTTTCTCTCGGGCGTCTTTAACTCCTAGTTTGTGTCGGGCATCAGTGAGACCAATCTTTTGCCGAGCATCAAAAGTCCGCTGGAAACCGATGGTTGCTGAAGGTCTACTTAGAAGACTTTGCTGGATCCCAATTCGCGATCTGACACCTCCAAATACTGGCCTGGTATTGAGCCTGGAAAAGAAGTTTCAGACCCAATATAAGCAGGTTATAGAATTAATAGAAACTTTTCAACAGTTTTACAAAAAACTAAAAATCAAAACCTGAGACAGTCCCATCTAGAATCCCATGCATTTATATGCATAAACAGAACCGAAGCCAGAAACTGATTCTCGGTTTCACTGAGGTGTTTTACTAGCTAAGTCATTCCGATGAAATGCAAGAGGTTAAGGGACATTTGGCAGCTACATCACTAGTAATTGTGACTGCCTCTGCTTTAAGCTACTGGCAAAAAATATTTAAATTCACTGGGTTGAATTTTTAAGCACAAACTCATAGATTAAGTTACTCAATACAGCAGAATAAAAGTTCACAGAGGAAGAAGCACAAGCAAATATAAGGTATTAATGACAAGCAAGGTGAAGGCTAACGTAAGTAGGAACCTGATTTCACTATCCTTAACTTCCCCAAACAGAAACTGAACTGCCTGAATCTTTGCATGTGTCCATCCCCACATAGGTTTTTTGGAGCATGGGTACAGATTCAGGGGCAGGTGATAAAACTGAGAAAATTAGTTTTAAAATTATGGTACTGAAATTTTTTTCCCCCCACTACTGGCTTTTTGATTCATTACTTCCCCATAATGGGTTAAGCTTGATGTGTTTTTGACTGCCTTTCTGAAGGGGACTTCTTAGTATTATAGAGATGTTTTATAGGCAAATCCAAGGCTGAAAGAAACCTTGTAGGATATGTTGCATTATTTCAGAAATGACTACCATCACAAGAACATACAATGAGGTAAGCCAGGCTCTGTATGTTAACTTTACTGTGGCATTTTCTGACTTGATCATAACTCTGTGTGACTTTAACTATTCTACTTAACTTTAGGCAAAAATATTTTTAAAAATCCAAAGCAGCTTTGCATTTCAGAACCAGGCTCTGCTTGCATTCAATGGTGGAACACCAAATCTCACAAACTGTGTAGGAAATGTGCAAGAAGGAAGTCCCTCCCCTCAGTATTTTAGGAACAGAGCACTGGGGGAAAGATGAAGCATATTTAGATACCAAGAGGAAGAACATGGACCAAAAAAAGATGGTCAGCTTCCAGTACCAAGGCTGTCCCCTCTTGCCCACCTAAAACATTATTAGCAAAGGCTGGTTGTGTCAAGTTCCATTTTACCTTCTGGATAGATGTCTGAATATTTTGGGGTTTTACTGGGAGGGGGATTCTCCCCTTCCCCCAATCTTTCCATTACTTTGAAATACTTAAATGAAAACATGCAAAGTTTTTTTGGCTAGCAACTAGAGATCTGATTCTATATCAAGCTGAGTGGCTCATCTCATATTTTGACCTTCAGCACATCGAATTCACCAAGTGGCTTTCTCTCAAATCTAATCAAGGAACATTTGAAACTTTCTGATCAACACCACAAATCAGTGATTGTAGTTAGCAATCAAACATCAGTATATAATTTATCTGACTCAACATGCTGAAGGTTGAAGTGGTAGAAAACTGATGAATGGGCTAATGTAATGAAAATGCTTCTTAAAAAAAATGTCTGCTATGGTTTACTATCAGTCTTACTCACCAAGTCACACTGCCAGAGTAACAGTTAAGAGACAGCAATATCATAAAGATCTGATGTCAGTAATATTCAGAAAATATGTGAAAGGAAGTTAGAGAGGTGTATGACATGATAATAGGCCTTTGACTACTAGGTGCACTGGTGGCCTGTGAAGTTTTTCAAAACATGCTTTCTTGGGAGCTGTGCTGTGAACAATGGAAAAAAAGAAGCGTTTTATCCACCAAAACTCCCCATCATTTTAGACAAGGATACTTTAACAATCCCTAAATGGGTTCAAAAGGAATAGATTGCTTTTTGATTGGAGTCAAATAAACAAAAATAAAAACAGAAGTCATCTGATACCCTGTTTTAGCATTTGAGCAGGACGACTGAGATTGTTCCCTAATCAGAGCTGCTAAAAATCAGGCACGAATCTCTGCACTAGGGATTAAGTTAAACCCATGTTTTTAAGAGAGTCATAGTTAAAGAAAAGTGATTTGGGAAAGAACACTTTTCTGTAGAGAATCACTTTCAGAGTAGCATAATGGGGTCCTAAGAAGGGAGACCCTTAACAGCATTACTCCATCCAAATCAGTTCCTATTATTACAAATCCTCTTCAATACCTAAAAAGCAAAACAATAATGTCATCATCATCATGCTTATAAGTGCGCAAGCACACTTTATGCTTAGGCTTTCAATTTTTTATTACCATTTTGTGTGACTATATTTAATAGCATTTATACTGCAATACAAATATACTGTTTGCCCAACACTGAGTAAGGCATGCTAGCTGGTTCAAAAAGCTTGCACTCTAAATCATGCACAATAAATAAAAGAAAGACAAGAGAAAGGCAACACTCTAGTACAGGTTGCTGTCAAGAGATTATTGTTGAGTAGAAGAAGGTTGGAAAGTTTCCTGGAAGAAATGGATGTTAAGAAGGGATTTGAAAGGGGAGCCACGAGGTGCCAAGCATATTAAGCAGCGTGAGACTGTTCCAAGCATAGCACAAATGAAGGCAAGGCCGAGTCCTCATCTAGGATTTAAAGGTAAACGAGAACCTATTTGCTACTACCTCTTAGGTATCGCCTTCTAAAAGACAAGAATGTCTGACGAAGAAAGTCTTGTATTTGAAAGCATGTCTAACATTATCCCAAGTATATAGTTGGTCCAATAAAAGAGAGCGCCCAAAGAAATCCTTACCCTAGACATAGCACTGTAGATGTTCATGTGGGCTAAACTAGAATAATTCAAACCTATGCTTGCCCTCAGACCAGAATCACAGGGACTGTGTACCAGACACACAGAGAAGGAGAGAAGAGACTCACAGGCATCCCTGAGGAGGGTTACCCGATGCAGAAAAAGGAAGGTGAAGGGCTACAAAAAAAGGAGGCAGCGGAGCAGCAGAATCAAGAGACTCTACAGGCCTTGTCTTCAAAGCCCTTTGCTGAGCTAAGACCTGTTCTAGGGCCCTGCCCACAGCGACACCTCAAGGGGTGTGTAGGAGGGCTACCACATGGGCGGTTAAGGAGATGGTAGGCTTTTGGAGCTACATTCTCAGGTCCTCCTGAACAGCTGCCAGCATGGAGGAAGGCTGCCCCAGAAGCCCAACCTGTCCTCTCACAGCCAGGACCTTTCACTCCCTGCCACCTCACGAAGCCTTCCAGAGCCCACAGCTCCCAGCTGCACCGAGGGCATGGGCGGCATCGGCAACTGGAGGCCCACGGGGGAGACCAGCCACGGCCACTCAATAGATAGGGAGCAGCTCCCACAGCCTTGCCACCAGCCCATGTGGGCAGAGGAGGTAGGGGCTGGTTCAGCTCTAAGCCAGGACAAAGCCATGGCTGGGGGGTGAGAACAGAAGGATCAATGGCTGGAGGGAAGAGCTCAGGGGCTGCAGGGCTGGGGGGAAGCCAGGGCAGGGCAGGGCAGGGCACCCCCCTTGAAGCTGGGCTGGACGCCCCCCCTCCCCCCAGCACAGCGCGGGGTTGCAGGGGGAGC